CGGCGTTAATTTGGCTACCCGGTCACAGGGCCGGTGCAATCAATATCCCAACTCTCCTTGGCTCCAATGGCTCTCAACTGCCAGCCATGGTCGACCTGGTTCCGCCCTAGGCTTCATATTGCCTCACCTGTGATGATTGCCAGAGATTGTGTCCTCCCTGAAGATAAAAACGATGTGAGGAGAGCGGTGGCGCGGCGCCCGATGCTTCGGCTGATCCTGCAAAAGCATATGGTAGACAACGGCATTTCGTCTAGTAAAATGATGAAGGGATGTATCTTCGGTGCCGGTATAGGGAGGCGTTGGAATGCCACTGCATCGTGCTGTGATGCTCAGACTATGACTGACATGATGGGAGGAACATTGTTGTCCCTGTATCAGGGCGTGTTACATCTGCCTCATGACATGCACTCGGACTGAGAAGCAACACGCCTGAGCCAACCGTGCGTGACAACTGTTTCAATGGCACCTGAAATTAGGAGTAGCACAACATCAGAAGCTTGATACCTCCAATACTGGGCGATAGGACACATATCGACCGAATGAATGAAGAGTCGGGCATGTCAAAGCAAGGCAGAGAAACACAGACGCGAGCAAGTATTTGGTTCCCAAACGTATGTTCAAAAAGAACCTCTATTGTCATCAACCTAAACCCCGCTATGGACACCCATCTCCTGTCCCATGACGCTTGTGAATGGATATCTATAGCAGCATGATGGTGTATATGTATGATCTATCCGGCGTTGGCCGCGCCAAAAAGAGGCACCGTTCATCATTGACGAAGCACTTAAGCAGAAAGTGTCTTGGCTTCTCCGTCCTTCAGTTTCCCAGCCGCAACGAGGCGCTTGACCTCCTCTGACCAGACACCCTTGATCTCGTCGGCGACCTTGAGGCCGTTGAGCTTGCCGGCCAGAGCAGCGATCTCGTCAGGGTCAACCTTGGACTGCACCAACTCGACGTCGTTCAGCACGGCATCGATAGTGGCTGCCGACGCGTCACCCGAGGCGAAGTAGTTGGCATCCTTGACCGAGCCCTTGAGCACACGCTTGTTCTTCTTGACGGCGGTCTTGGCCGCCTCCTTGGCCTTCTTGTTGGCCTCGCGGTCGAGTTTGGCCTTCTCCTCAGCGTCCTTGGCCGCCTTCTCCTCGGCCTCCTTCTTGGCGCGGGCCTCCTCGAGCGCCTTCTTCTCGGCGGCTTCCTTGTCGAGGCGCTTCTTGTTCTTGGCGGCGTTGGCTTCCTGGCGGAACTTCTTGATGCGCTCGTCGGTGGCAGAGCAGTCGTCTAGGATCTTGCGGAGACGGGCGTTGTCCTCGGCCTTCTTCTTCTTGCGGGCGTTGGCGTTCTTGCGCTCCATGTGTCGCTTCTGGTCGCGGTTCTCATTGTCGTCGGGCACGTCCTCGTCCAGGTATTCGAAGGAGCGCCAGCTGTCAAAGTTGTACCAGAAGTTGTAGAATGCATCGACCTCCTCCTTTGTCGACTTCTCGTCGCCAAACTGAGGAACTGGGTGGGTCTTGCTAAATCGCGACTCGGCACGGAACACGTTACCCCAGAGCTTGTAGAAGTTCTTGCCACCCTTGGCTGCGAGCTCCTTCTTGGTGGGAGGCTCAACCTCGGCCTTCTCGTCGATCGAGTCAAACTGGCGGCGCTTGACGGGGTCGAGGAGAACCTCGGTAGCCTTCTGGATGCACTTGAAGAAGTTGTCGTCGTCCGTGCGACCGGCAGCAGCCTTCTTGTCCGGGTGGTGCTTGAGAACCTTCTTGCGATGGGCCTTCTTGATCTGATCCTCGGTAGCCTTGTAGCGGTACTTGGAGATGCCGAGAACCTGGTAATGGTCTTGACTCTGAAAGCAGCAGTCGGTTAGCATAGAGTCTGGCAGGCTACTGCAAATTAGAGGAAGCCAGGGGATGACAACGTCGTCTTACCTTCCAGTCCTTGGCTTCCCGCTGAAGCATCATAGGATCCTCTGGTTCGCTGATGTCGCCGTCCTCCTCCTCCTCGACGTTCTTGGCACGCTCCTGGGCTTGTATGCGATCATCCTCGGAGAATGTGCGCTTGTGGCGGGCTCGGCGGGCGTGGGCGAGGAAGTGAGGACCAACCGGCTCGATGGCCCTCTGAGTGGCGGCGCTGAGCTTGCCGGCGGGTTTGAAGTCCTTCTCAGCCGCCCAACCCTCAGGGAGCGAGGGCAGAGCTCGGGGAATCACAATTGCAGTCGTCATGTTTGTATAATGGGACCACGCTTGAGAAAGGTATAGAGATGTTTGTCTTCGGATCGAAGAAAACTGGTGGAAGCGAAAAGTCAGCGTCGAATTTTTGGTGGGGCTGTTCAATGTCCCCACCTTCACTCAGTGACCAATCGATGCAGTCCATCAACCGTCGCAACGACCGTGAACTCCGACGCATCTGAAGTTGCGAAGGAAGCTGCACACCTTGGGGGCATACCAACACCGATACCCGAACTCCTCCTACAAACTTTCCAATGGCGCTCGTAGCGTATCGGAATCTTCTGCGCGCCGCGAGGATTGCGTTTGACGGTATGCGCCACCTCCTAATGCCAGTACTGCTGGCCCAACGAGGTCCCGAACGAGAAGCTGCTAACCAACTGCTCTCCCAGGCGACACCCGCGTCCTTACTGCTGCGACAGAGCAAATACGGCAAGGGTTCCGAGACATGAGGTCATTACCAGCCTCAGACCCGGGAGTTCAAGCAGCTGTACAGCACGCCCAGGAGGTTGCCAGCTTCTTGAGGTCGAACGTAGTGCAAGGGCAGAAGGAAGGAGATGTGTATAGTCAGTGCCTGCCTTGCGTGCTCCACGGTCAGTGTATCACTGCAAGCTAACATCTGACGATAGAGCTACGAATCCACGACGAGATAGAGCGGGGCGATAACGACACGATAAATATTGGAGGGAAGACTGTTAAGATCGAGGGGGGCAAGTGCTGCAGTGACAGGTGATCTTGAGGATCCTTGTGACAAGCAGCCGGCATCATCAAGCATGCCAGTGCCTTCATGTCGCCGACTGCGAGCGCAGAGAGCGTAATCGACTATCGACGCTGGTTGCCATACATTCCGCCGATCGTGCGTACATCGAAAGTGTACAGTGGAAAAGCGTCGGCTCGAGCTGCCTGAGTTGCCTCCAAGCATCATGTATTGTATTGTACAATAGAAGAAGAAAAAAAACATAAATGATACCCACGACTACATAGCTGCCGATTAGAGCTACTCTTTGCATAACAGGGCATGCCGATGCCAGGACAAAGGCCTGGTACACTTCAGGTGATGTTCGCATTGACCTTTATCATGCAGTCAGGAAGCACCTCCGTCTTGGGGGAATCTGCCTTGTTTCAATGACTATCAACGTTCGCCGATTTTGCATAAGCGGAGTAGGTATCCCAATGCCATGTTACCTGAAGAGAGAAGCCAGAACAAAGCCATGCAGATGATACGCAGTCATACGCCTAAACCTGATCGACGACCAATATCCGACCATCAACGCCTAACACCGTGAATGCAGCCACAATGCGCTAACGATCCTACTCAGTTTCCAGCCAAACTCTCGTACTGGACCTCTGCCGCGCCGGGCGGTGGCGCAATAGCAATATCAGCCAAGTCATCCTTCTCCTGCGAGCGTGCTTGGCCACCGCCGCCCTCGATCGCCTTCTGGCCCCCAGCTGTGCTCTTTGGCCGCGCGAAAGCGGACCTGCCATCCCGTATCATCTCCAGACGCTCCTCCTTGTTCATCGTACCAATGGCCTTTGGCTGGCCCCACCGTATGCGCAGAGGACAGCCGGCGATTACGGCGCGGCCCTTGCATTCCTCCGCCGCCCTCTCTGCCGCTTCCCTGCTCTCGTAGTTGACGAAGGCGCAATGTGACATGTGCGAGACGACGAGAGACTTGATCTTGCCGAATGGCTTGAAGAAATCGCGGATCTTGAACTCGGGCAGATCGTCCTCTATGCCCGTGACGAACAGAGACATGATGTTCTGGTCCGCGGGCGGAAGCCAGTCCTTGGGGGTCGGCGGCTGGTTGACGCCGGTGGGAAAGGGTGCTTTCCGTGCTTGTCGTGGACCGCCAGGTCTTGTATTGCCGGCTGAAGGTCTGGAATCTCGCGATCGAATTGGCCCAGGTCCGCCGCTCGCCGCACCACCACCACCACTACCGCCGGGAGACTCCGACGCCGTGTTGCCCTCCTCGTCGACAGCCCTGCCTTTCCTGAAATACGGCTTGCTCTGGGCCAAGCGCCTCAGCAGCTCGCGCGCCTTGTCGTCAGCCTTGTCGTATTCCTCTATGCCCGCCCTTCCTTCTTCGATGGCGCGTTCGTTGTTTTGCGCAAAGTATTCGCGGTTGATGTCGCTGCTTGGTCCTGGCGCCACGAGCTCGAGGGCCTTGTCACGGATGACGATGGGCAGGCCGAACTGCAGGTCCATGATGCAGCACTGGCAGGCGTTTTTCAACCGGGCGCAGGTCAGACATATGTTGGTTCGCTTGCGGCGGCCATGCGCGCGGTCGGCAGCCCATTCGAAGACGGTGAAGGGGCGTGTACAGAGCTTGCATTCGGCGCCAAAGTCTTCCTTCAGCATCTTGACGTATGGATTCGCGGGTAGGCAGTTCTCGCACACGGACGGGAAGTCGGTGCTCTCCCAACCACTCCGGTTGAGATCTTGCTTTATTTGTGGCGGCATCTTGAAGCGACTGAAAAGTAAGTATTCAGTCGACTGTGAAGTGAGATGACAAGAGAGAGAGTCGTGGCGGGACGTTGAAGCTACGGTGTTGGAACGTCGTGACTTGGATCTCGGACCCCCTCCAGGCAATAAATTCCCATGTGCACGGACCATTCTAGAACCCCCACGAGAGGTGACTAATCCACATTAAGTTGTAGTTCTGCTACAGCTTCTATTTGCCTACCTTATTTAGCATAGGAGGTAGTACTATGTAAAAAAAAAGAGAGGGAGATGCGTTCCTTATTCTGTAACAGTCCCGGGAATGAACAGCAAAAAAATAAAACCGCCCGAAGAGGGGCTCGAACCCTCGACATTGGGATGTCAGACTTAAAGGTGTCGTAAAAGTCCCACGCTCTAGCCAACTGAGCTACCCGGGCTGTAGACGGATCATAATGGGTCCGTATTCCGGTCTAGGAGCCTCCAACCCACGCGAGAAAGAGGACGAGAACTTCCGACTCACCTGCGCGCTCAAGGCAGTCCCTGTACAGCATGCTCTGTGATGGGTTTGGTGCTGTAAAATCCAATGTGATGTGTCACATTGGAGAGGACGGTCCTGGACTGCAATTCCTCCAATTTTTCAAGCTCCGACCCTTGAGGGCCTTGACCCGCCGTGCCGGATCCTTGCTGATCTCTACTGGAGTTTCCACCCCATGGGCATCGGCAAGTGCCTTATTATGCGATTTGCCATGGTATTTGTTTGCTTAGCATGTCCCACTGTGACGTAAGGAACCCCCCCCCGGATCCCCTTGTCCGCTACTGCGGCAATCCCGACACCGATTTCACACCCAGGCCGCCTACCGTCAACGACTTGCGTGCATCCTTGACAGGCCTTCACAGTCCATCTACACGTGATATACGCTCCTTCCCCGCATCTGTGTCCAACTAAACCGTCACGCTGTGTGGGCAAGTCGCGTGTTTGGGGGCATTTGGCTCTATGATAATGCGGTCAGGACTCCGACATTTCCCCGCTCTTCGCGTCTTGTAATCTCCGTGAATCGCCATCTGGACTGCCCGGAGCAGGTCGACTACCGTCTCGGATCGTTACGCAGAGTGCTGATAGGTGCGATGCACCTGTCCTCTGCGCCAGCTACGTTCCTAGTCTCCCACTACCTCCTACTGCGTAGTAGACCCTCGTCTATCACGGTACCTTGGCCTGCTTGGCTGAGGTATCACCAGCAAGCATCATGCCCGGTTCCAGACGCCCGACTCTCCTCCCTGCTGACCCGACGCCTTCCACGACACCGTCCGACCGTACCTCTACTTTCGCAACCAGAAGCATCATGAAGCGGCACATGACAACGAATGCTTGTGTGGGCTGCCGCAAGAAAAGAGCAAAGGCATGATACTCCTCACTCCTCGGCCCCCCTCGCCCGCCTCCGTGCTCCTGTGGCCGTCTTCTGAGAGCAGACTAGAGAAGCATTTGACTCTGACATTGTATCGCATAGTGCGACGGCAGATCGCCCTGTTCCAGGTGCATCGCTCGTCACGAACCCTGCGACTACAAGACCAAAACCAGCATAACCAAGGACGACCTACGAGCCGAGGTTGAGATGCTCAGAGCCGAGAGACTCAAAAGCAGGGCCGTCCTGAATGCCCTGCTCCTCGATAAGCATGAAGCCATTATACACCGACTGCGCTCTGGGGAGTCGGTGGACGTCATAGCCCGGAGCCTGACCGCCGACGAAGCCGAAGACGATGGACAGAACAACGAGGACACACGGCAGGATCAACCTTCACAACTCTTTTCCCCCTCGTCCTCCTCGGACCACGCGTCGCCTTCGGCGGCCTCGGATGCGATTGGCGCCGCAGACAGAGGAACTTCTGTCATTGATATCCCCAAGCAGTTCAAGACTGGCCGCCTCGACCCTACGATCTCCGCAACTGGCGGTGACTTTCAGTTGCCGGGATGGCTATTGACGCCTGTGGAGTCGCCCACAACCCCGAGATACCCGTCCGCGACGCGGCCTGATATCGCCCGCCGGCATTCCTTTGATGACAATAGCCTCACAGAACATTTTTCTGGCTTGGGCAGCAGAATGTGGACAAAGGTGACACCTGACAGGGCTCTCATGAAGCATTTACTCGGACTCTTCTTCTCTTGGGAATTTCCTCCATTTACCATGGTCTCCGAGGAGCTATTTCTCCGTGACTACTTCCAGGGTGGTCGTCAATTCTGTTCACCAGCGCTTGTCAACGCTATCGCCTGTGTGGCAACTCGTTACTTGGAGCCCGACGGAGCGACTTCGTCTGGCGATGCGCACCTACTTGGCGAACAATTTTTTAGTGAAGCCAAGGGTCTTCTGGTATACGAGGCACAACTGCCTAATCTCCCCAGCATTCAGACCTTTGCTCTTCTTGCTGTGCGGGAAATGTCTTGTGGCCGTGAACTGGAGGCGCAAGAGCTTTGTCTCCAAGCCGTTCGCCTTCTAAGTGCTCTTAACCTCGAGGATTTCCAGGAACAGGGCCAGCTCACCGATTACCTTACGGTCAGGTCCATCACCTTTGCGGGTGTCATATCACTCACCCGGTATGTTGCTCATTTGTGCGCTGGTTTACGTGTTGCTGGTTGATTCCGTGTAATATGCATGCACGGGTTGTCTAATGGGCTTACTAGTGCCATACGACTTATTACCGACCAGCTCTCCCCGGCTTCCAACTACTACTACTATACTGATATGCCCCTGGTATTGAATCTCGTTGATCGTGACGGTGAATCTCTGGCCGCTCAGTTTGAGCAACAAAGTGAGCATCGTATTCTAGGATCCCTTTCTTCACAGGGCCAGACTAACAGCAAAGAATCAGTAACCGACTTACGGAGTAAACTGTACAGGGACCCAAAGCCAAAAGCTGCAGACATGCTAAGCAGCTTCATTTTCGATCAGACTGAATATGTCTACTCCTTCCTGTCTCAAGTTGGCCGATCTGGCAACCCAAAGATGACCGAACCGCTCCCGGTAGTCTATAAGACGTGCCTACAGTCTTATGAGACGATTACAGATTTCCTGAAAGAGCAAGGCGATTCATCTCCTTGCACACTATTTGCGCAGTAAGAGACCGCATCTGTGCCCCATATATCCGGTTGGAGAGGACTAGACTAAACCCTCGCCCAGCATTTACTTCCATTTTTGCCTGCTGGCCCTTTTCCGTCCTTTCGTCCTATATGGGGTGGATGTGGCAGGAATATCGCCGCGCAATGTCTGTGCCGAAGCCGTCAACGCCATCCTTGGTGTGACGCAAAGCTATGCTAGTCTGTTTACCCTTCGACGGACTCCATGCTTTGTCCCTTACTTTGTATTTGCCGCCGGCCTGACCCGCATCCTGCTGAAAAGAGACCCGACAGCCGAGAATTCGTCGTCGCCGTCTTCAGGAGTTGGTTCTAGCCCGGCTACAGCCAAAACAGAGACGGGATCACCCTACCAACTTGGCGAGCTCGACGATGGCGGAGACACACCCATGGCAGGAGCGGACAGCCAGAACTCTATGTCGCCGACTTCCGCGATCGACTCAAGCGCCATCACCTGGAGCACCTCGGCTACTATGACGAATGCAGTATCAGAAGAAGACCGTGGCTTGTCACAGGCTGTACTCCAACTTCAAGAAATGAGTGTTGGCCATCCCGCCGCTGCTCAGGCTGGATGGGTTTTGCGTGACGTTAACCCGCGTCATAACGACTCCCGCTGAACGTTGTCCACTCTAGCCGGAACATGTTTCTCCCCCTCTGTCGCCATCCGCAGCTGTGCTGCGTTAGCCGGTTGAGACATCCGCGACCACAGTACTGCTGGTAATGATTATGAGCGACTGACCGGCCAATGCCGGGGCGTTGATGGGATACCCATTGATCATCATTAAGCGCCTGTAATCTTGTTTGCAGCTGCTTGAACCCGATCCCTCTATGCAGGCCAGCCTTGTTGCTACCAAAAGACCATAATCGTGGTCGTGACTTGAGGTTGCTACAGCATCTGTACGCCTGGAGTATCTTCAACGTCGTCCTGCACAGGGTGTCGGCTCGGGGGCGGTAGTTACCTCACCAAGGTTGTACTACATTTGCCCAATCATGGCCAAGCGTGGCTGCGTACCTTAAGGTTCTTTCGTTCCTTCCGCTGGCCGCTGGAATCACATCTAAGTGGCTCGAGCTCATTGTGACGTCATCGGCACAACCAGGTCTGTTTGTCGTTCACACCGACAGTTGGCTACCTGAAGGAACCTAATGTTACCTATCATTAACATTTTTCGACACCACATCTTATTGTATTGATTATCCTCGGTGCCATGGGCGTCCAGAGCAGCGGTATGGCGGTGCAGCAACCCGGCGGCCTCATCATGAATGACGACAAGCCCTCAATCACCACAGCGGTCTCTATGGCCCCGGTGACTGCTGAGAGGAAGCCGTTCATCCAGCTCGATGATCAGCGGGTGTCGCAGGCTGGTAGCTAGCCCACTGATGTCTTGCTAGCCGCTGTTGACTCTGTTTTAGGCGTAGCGCGCGCCAACCTTGCGCCAACATATGACAAACCGGAGGGTACGACGGAGGATGACTGGGCCGAACGTCACAAGCACCAAAGCGTCTTGCAACAACACCTTGATTTTTTCGATCAGGTAAGAGAGTTCACGCGCCAACCAGCCTTCGGCAGCGAGCTGATTGCTCCAAGGACCGTGACGGCATAATCTACCCCCTCGACACCTTCCGCGGCTTCCGTCGACTCGGGTTCGGCTATCTCCTCTCCCTGCTCTCCGTGCTCATCATCCACTCCAACTTCTCGTACCCGACTTTGCCGTCAATTATTCCCGATCCGCTGTTCCGGATATACATCCAGAGCATCCACACGTGCAAGCACGGCAGCGATAGCGGCACATACGACACAGAGGGCCGCTTCGTCCCGCAGAAGTTTGAGGATATCTTCTCCAAGTACGCCGAAGGCAAGGACGGCCTCACAATCTGGGATCTGTGGGACTTGCACAAGGGGCAGAGATTGTACCTCGACCCTATTGGCTGGTTCGCGCAGATATTCGAATGTGAGTCGAGCCCAGACGCCTCTGACAGGTACCCACTGAAGAATGACTGACCTCTTTGTAACGCTTAGGGCTTGCAACTTATCTGATGCTGTGGCCAGAGGATGGCAAGATGAAGAAAGAGGACATTCGTGGGGTATTTGATGGAAGCATATTCTACACCATCGCCGCTCGCCGAGAGGGTGGACAGCGACCTGCGTGAAGGCTCACATGCCGCGATTGGAGGGATACGTTGGCATCGGGCAGAGTTTCACGTGACCGGGATGACGACGGAGTGCCACTGGTATCGAGCTTTGGCAAAACTTTGCTGTCCTGGGCGTCCTACACATCTTCCATACCCGCCTCGATGCAAATAGAACCTAGACAT